ACAACCAGAAACAAAAAATAACTATCCAGGGTCTATACCCCTACAAGAGGAGATTCCCTGAAGATCGTGATCAAATAACTGAGCAAGGTGAAACGGCATAACTCTATGACTCCAATAATATTTAATAATGTGTAGGATGGTAATACATAATTTTCTTGCGTAATCACGAGAGATTTTAAATGGAAATATTTTGGGAAATAATGCGTATTCTTCTTAAGTATTCACGCGAGATTTTTTTTTATTTTTTTTAAATGAGAGGTTAACAAGGGTGGGAAATTAAGAATTGATAAATTATATATTTTGTCTTATTTCTTTATTCAAAGTTTTTCTCTTTATATTAAATATTGATAATTCAGTACAAATAATTGATTGAAGAAGTATGTAATCCAAAAAAATAAAAATAAAAATAGATTGAAGAAGTATATAAGAATTGAATTGAGTTGGTAATATTTCTTTCGTGGACTATTGATAAAGAAGAACAAAGAAATTATTAAAGTTTTGCTTTTTACTCAAAAAAAATTCAGTATTCATGCTATTTTAATCCTGTTTAACTCGGATTTTTTTTTTGTTGATACAAATATGATCGGATTTAAAATAAGAGTGCCCTTTCAATATTATTTTCTCAATTTTCAGACTTACATTTAATGTTCTATTAATTGTTGAGATATCAAGTAAAAATATATTAATTAATGAAAAAAATAATCAAGAAAATGAAAATATAATATAATTAAAGAATTTATGTTAATAAATTATTATTTTTGAATGATGAAAAATATAATTTAGAATAAGTGAATGAACCTGATAATTATGAAATTAATATAAAAATAAAAGTATAATATAATTAAATAATTTTAAATATATTATTGTACTATTTTTTTGTTATGTAGGATAATATTATAAAATTTTCCGATTATATGATATATTGTTGCATTTTTTGGAAATCATATAAGATATTGACCATTAATATATTCTTAGTTCATGACTCTTGTGAAATCAATCAATAAAATAAGAGGAATTAATTTATTTATCATCAAAATTTTATTGTTACCTTATATGCAGGCCTTTAAACACATGCTTTGATGCTTGAATCATGTTTTTTTTTTTCTCATAAGTAATCAAATTTTTCATTTCTTTTTAGTTCCATGTAATTAGAAGATGCTTACAAGGTAGCATGCGCAAAAACTATTTAAAGATATGAAAACTATTCAAAGTATTTTTTTTTAAATATAACTGTTATGGATTTGACAAAGGTTCATATTCTAGAAGGACCAATAAAGGACAGAACGAAAGGAAGGAAATATTCTATTAATGACGATCTAATCCAGACAGCTAAGCAGTTGGACTTGAACTCCCCAATATTCCTAACAGTTGCCAGGTAACCTCTATAAATAAGGGGTTAAGCTAATAATGTATACAGATTCTAAATCCTCTCTTTCTTAGCTGTCACTGTCACTGTGCACACACTCCACCCTTCGGCTATACCATTTATTATAGTATACAGTGATCCGTTGATCTCTCCTACAAATACCTGAGAGAGGACACACAGATCCAACAGAAACATACCAACCATTAGGTTGGTTAGACATCCTGATTTATCATATCGGAACAATAACTATTTTTTTGAGGCGAGTCATTCTCAGATATCTTCAAATATATATTTGGTGGGAATTGAATCTATTTTCTCTCACTTACTCAATTTGTGTTACCAATTGAATTACACTTATTAAATTATATATATAAGGCAAATTATATTTATTTATTTTTTACATTTCCTTATTATTAGATCAAATCATCAGTTTTCAATTAATGCTATTTTGTTATAAGAAATATAAGTTTTTTTTTTTTTTTTGTAAATAAGAAATATAAGTTTAGACTAATACAAACGGTTTGTAAGAGAATTATAAAAGAGAGAGAGAGATTGGAAATATATATTTCCCTTTTTATTTATTATATATATTAGGGAAAAATGTTACTACAGATAAATTATTTATATTTATTCCCAAAACGACGTCGTTTTGGTATTGAAATCTTAAAAAATTACAAATATAAAAATTATTATAACCCTGAAATAAATTAAAATTACAAAAACATCATGATTTTCTCCCTAAAATGACGTCGTATTGGGCTTACTGCAGATAACTTATCTGCAGTAACTGCAGAAAAAGCGTAACACTATATATTACTATAAAATGTGTTTCTCTTTTATCATATCACATGAAACAGCAGCTCTTGTGTTATAGACCTAACAAGTGGTCAATCCCACTATCTAGTAAAAAAAAAATTGTACGAACTTTGATGTCTTACAAAGTTATCTCTTATTGGTCAGGATGAATGAGGCTTTTGTGGGGGAAATTGCTTGGCAGATACAATCGGATAAAGATATCCTCTGGGTTAAGGTGCTAAGAACCAAGTATTGTGGCTCTAGGCGGGAAAATGAGAATCTCATGAGTAAAGCATGGGACTCGCGATTGTGGAAAAATGTGTGTAAGGTTTGGGAGAAAATTAAACAATATGTAGGATGAGAGGTAGGGGATGGGAAGTTAATCAATTTCTGGACTGATAATTGGATATCAGAATTAGGTCCATTGATTCACAGAAGAATAGGAAACATACCAGAGCAAGAAATCTGCAAAAAACCTTGCGATCTAGTTAACCAAGATGGTAACTAGGATTTTAGTATCACTGGTAGATGGATATCAGAGGAGGACATAAAAATAATTCAGAGTCACCTGACCCCGCATCTTAAAGAGTGGGTGAAGGGAATGGATTTAGTGTTAAGAATGTCTACCATGCAATCTCTGCAGAAATATGGAACAGAGCAGGAAATCTTCAGGCAGAAAAAACATGGAGGAATTTGTGGAATTGGAAAGGACCACAGTGTATAAAAATATTTATGTGGAAAATCCTTTATTTTCGTCTTCCCACAAAATCTTGGGCTGCAAAATGGAGTGACATTGAGGAGACTTGCCCCATTTGTCGTGAGGAACCAGAAAGTATACTACGTGTATTAAGGGATTGTACAGAGATATACAATTTATGGGAAAATACAATACCGAATGCATGGAGACATAATTTAGTTGAACGAAAAAAATGGTGATGATAAAATGGGAACAAAAAATTGGAGATCCACCTTCTTTGTTTACATGCTGGTTAGTTTGGAAATGGAGAAATCCAAGGGTTCATGGAGAGGTAATTCCACCTATGGAGATATGCAAAAACATAAGAGACAAGTGGCTGCAGGACATTCAGACAGCAAGCGCTAAAGTGGTTGGGGCTGGAGGTAGGAGATAGCTGGTAGAGATGTATATTAAATGGGAGCCTCCAGTGGATGATTGGGTTAAAATTAACACGGATGGTTGGAGGGAATTCTGGACCAGCAGCTTGTGGAGGAATTTGTAGAGATCAGGCAGGAGAGTGGTTAGGAGGCTTTGCTCTAAAAATTGGCACATGTAGAGATCAGCCCTCACTGCTGAATTTTAGGGCGTTCTCAAGGCATTGCAACTAGCTTCGGAAAGAGGACTTCATAAAATCATTATTGAAACTGATTCAACATCTGTAATCACTATGCTTACCAAATCTGATAATGAAGCCCGAGAGAATCACATGGTGTCTCGCATTCGAGCGTGGATCAAGAAGGATTGGAGAGTTATGTTCCAACACTGTTATAGGAAGAAAATGTGTGTGCTGATTGGTTGACAAACTACCACTTGACTCAAGATAGGAATTCTAATTGTGTTATTTTTTATAATATTCATTTAGATCTTAGTGTCTTAGTATCAGGGGATTTGGCTTCTGTTAGCCATAGGTGGCAACAGTGACTAAAGTGTCAGTGTTGGCCAAAAAAATTACCAGACTGTCACGCCAACCGTAAATTTTGCTAAAATGTCACGTGACATATTTCGCTACACTGTGTAGCGAAATATGTATGCAAATAATTCGCTACACAGTGTAGCGAAATATGCCACGTCAGACTGCTCAGAACCAAAAATGCCATGTGTCGAAATTGTAGAAATTCGCTACCCTATGTAGCGAATTTCTTCAATTTTGACACGTGGCATTTTTGGTTCTGACGTGGCATATTTCGTTACACTGTGTAGCAAATTATTTGCACGCATATTTCGCTACACAGTGTAGCGAAATATGCCACGTGGCATTTTGGCAAAATTTACTGTTGGCATGGCAGTCTGATAATTTTTTTGGCCAACAGTGACGAAATGATCACTGTTCCGCCATAGGCGTAGAGTTAGTCTTTTGTAATTTGTTGGTTGGGGCTATGCCCTACCAACTACCAAAAAAAAAAAATTATTTCTTATTGCACGAGAAAATATTTTTCATATAAAATATAAAGTTATTAGAATTGGTCTAACAGTGGGGAGTTTGTGTGTCTACCAAAAAAAGAAGAAGAAGAGGAGTTTGTGTAATTTGTATTAGGTTATATATTCAAGTTAAAAATAAATATAAAATATAGGAATGAATAGAAAAAACTACAAGGGATTAAGTAATGAGATATGATATTGTTATTACCAAATAGGGGCAGGTTATATTTACAAACTTTTTTGTTTATAAACTCTTACAAATTATACTATGTAGGACCGGTCTTACATTAATCTCACAGTGTACGACCGGTCCTACATTAGTGTAATTGCAAAAAAAGTTTGTAAACGGATCCTGTCTCTACCAAATAATGTTATTATCATATCTTAACCGTTGATTTTTGTTAATCAACGGTTATCATTTATTGCGAATAAATAATTAATTAAAGAATTTGATTTGTGAATGTTTATTGACGAAAATTAATGGTTAAGATATGATAGTGACATTGATAGTAATATTATTTGGTAATAAAATATCATATTCCTTAAATAATTAAAAAAATAAGAGTGTAAGTGATTCAAAATAATAGGATGGATTTTATTTTATTTTTTAAATTTTTCCCTAAAAAATATAAGATAGGAGTCAAGTAAGTAGTAACGTGGATATTCTTGAAAGGAGAGAGGGTGACGAAGGATCCCAGATCTCAATCCGATCTACACACAAAAACCCTCTTTCTTGTTTGTTAGTTCTTTTGATCTCCATTCTCTTAACCCTAATCTCCATTTCCATTTCAACAAGATGTTGACCAAGTTCGAGACCAAGAGTAACAGAGTGAAGGGCCTCAGTTTCCACACCAAGAGGCCATGGATCCTTGCCAGCCTCCACAGCGGCGTTATCCAGCTATGGGATTACCGCATGGGAACACTCATCGACAAGTTCGACGAACACGATGGCCCCGTCCGTGGCGTTCATTTCCACAATTCTCAGCCTCTCTTTGTCTCCGGAGGTACTATCAATTTCTCCATCTATTAGATCTGAAGCTTATTAACCATTTTCAGTCACTAATGATTAGGTTTTTCATCGTGATTTTAGGTGATGATTATAAGATTAAGGTTTGGAACTACAAGCTGCATAGGTGTTTGTTTACTCTTCTAGGACACCTTGATTACATCCGCACCGTTCAATTTCATCATGAGAACCCGTGGATTGTGAGTGCAAGTGATGATCAAACCATTCGCATCTGGAACTGGCAATCGCGTACTTGTATATCTGTTTTAACTGGCCACAATCATTATGTTATGTGTGCCTTGTTCCATCCTAAAGAGGATCTTGTTGTTTCGGCCTCTCTGGATCAGACTGTTCGTGTTTGGGATATTAGTTCTCTCAAGAGGAAAACTGCTTCTCCTGCAGATGACATACTGCGACTCAGTCAGATGAACACTGATCTCTTTGGTGGTGTTGATGCTGTTGTTAAGTATGTGTTGGAAGGTCATGACCGTGGTGTCAATTGGGCTTCATTTCATCCCACACTGCCTCTCATTGTGTCCGCGGCTGATGACCGCCAAGTCAAACTTTGGAGGATGAATGGTAAATGTGAAACCTATTTATTTTACATGGTGAGCTGTCTGGATAATGATGTTGCCAAGTGACCTGTAGGTCACACGTTCGATTCGTGTGCTGAGCGGCAGCTCTCTTGCACTAGGTTGCCCTTATTTTTAGTATTGATGCTATTCTGATTAACATGTTAACATAAGTGTGTTGAGAAACTTAGATGTATTTGTTGGGGTGAAAACGAAATCTATTGTCAAGCTAGTTTTTGGATGCATTAGATCTTGTAGTATATAGTGAAAAATAAACTTGTAGTATTTGAAGTGATCTTGTTTATGCTGATAATAAAATATGTCTCTATTTTCAGACACAAAAGCATGGGAAGTGGACACTTTGAGGGGGCACATGAATAATGTTTCATGTGTTATGTTCCACGCCAAACAGGATATCATTGTGTCAAATTCTGAAGATAAAAGTATTCGCATATGGGATGCAACGAAGCGAACAGGGATTCAGACGTTCCGCCGGGAGCATGATAGGTTTTGGATTCTTGCAGCGCATCCTGAAATGAATCTGTTGGCAGCTGGTCATGACAGTGGCATGATTGTTTTTAAGCTGGAGAGAGAAAGACCTGCTTTTGTGGTTAGTGGTGATTCTTTGTTCTATACAAAAGATCGGTTCTTGTGTGTCTACGAATTCTCAACACAAAGAGATACACAAGTACTTCCATTTCGGCGACCAGGCTCTTTAAGCTTGAATCAAAGTCCGAAGACTCTTTCCTATAGCCCAACTGAAAATGCATTTCTTCTGTGCTCAGATGTAGATGGTGGATCTTATGAGTTGTATTGCATATCAAAGGACAGTTACGGTAGGGGTGATGTGCAAGATGCAAAAAGAGGACATGGAGGATCAGCAATCTTTGTTGCTCGTAATCGGTTTGCTGTGCTTGAGAAGAGCAACAATCAAGTCCTTATAAAAAATTTGAAGAATGAGATTGTTAAAAAGAGTGTCCTTCCAATTGCTGCTGATGCTATATTCTATGCAGGAACAGGAAACCTGCTGTGTAGGTCAGAGGATAGGGTTGTTATATTTGATCTTCAGCAGAGGATTGTTCTTGGTGATCTTCAGACCCCTTTTATCAAATATGTTGTATGGTCTGATGACATGGAACATGTTGCTTTGCTCAGCAAACATGCCATTATAATTGCTAGCAAGAAACTCGTGCACCAATGCACCCTCCATGAGACAATCCGTGTAAAAAGTGGAGCCTGGGATGACAATGGTGTGTTTATTTATACAACACTAAATCACATCAAATACTGTCTTCCAAATGGAGATAATGGGATCATAAAAACACTGGACATTCCAATTTATATCACACGGGTTTCTGGAAACACAATCTTCTGCCTGGATCGGAATGGAAAGAGCAGAGCTATAATTATTGATGCAACTGAATATATTTTTAAGCTTTCCCTCTTGAAGAAAAGATACGACCATGTTATGAACATGATAAGGAACTCACAGCTTTGTGGGCAGGCTGTGATTGCTTATCTTCAACAGAAGGGCTTTCCTGAGGTTGCCCTGCATTTTGTGAAAGATGAGAGAATTCGGTTCAATTTGGCTTTAGAGAGTGGGAACATTCAAATTGCAGTTGCATCAGCTACAGCAATTGATGAGAAAGATCACTGGTATCGTTTAGGGGTTGAGGCTCTTCGCCAAGGCAATGCTGGTATAGTAGAGTTTGCATACCAGAGGACCAAAAATTTTGAGAGATTGTCTTTCCTTTACCTTATCACTGGTAACGTGGAGAAACTATCAAAGATGCTGAAAATTGCCGAAGTCAAGAATGATGTGATGGGGCAGTTTCACAATGCCTTGTATATGGGCGATGTTCGCGAACGGGTAAAGATCTTGGAAAATGTGGGCCATTTGCATCTTGCCTACATCACTGCTTCCATCCATGGGCTAAACGATGTTGCAGAACGGCTTGCAGCTGAACTGGGAGATAATGTTCCATCTTTGCCCGAGGGAAAAATACCGTCTCTCTTGATGCCGCCATCACCTGTCATGTGCGAAAGTGATTGGCCCCTTCTCAGGGTCATGCGGGGCATGTTTGATGGGGCGTTTGACAATACAGGCAGGGGAGTTACTGATGAAGAAGAGTATGAGGCTGCTGATGGTGATTGGGGTGAGGAGCTTGGCATAGTTGATGCAGATGGCCTACAAAATGGAGATGTTGCTGCGATTTTGGAGGATGGAGAAGTTGCTGAAGAAAATGATGAAGAGGTTGGATGGGAGATGGAGGATTTAGAGCTGGGTCCTGAAGCTGACACCCCAAAAGCTTCTATCAGTACTCAATCTTCAGTTTTTGTGGCCCCAACTCCTGGCGTGCCGGTAAGCCATATATGGACTCAGAAATCATCTCTTGCGGCTGATCATGCTGCTGCTGGAAATTTTGACACCGCAATGAGGTTACTGAACCGACAACTTGGGATAACAAATTTTATACCCTTGAGATCCATGTTTTTTGATCTTCATACTGGCAGTCATTCCTATCTGCGTGCATTTTCTTCTGCTCCAGTCATATCACTTGCAGTTGAAAGAGGTTGGACCGAGTCATCTAGTGCAAATGTAAGAGGACCACCAGCACTTCCTTTCAAATTGTCTCAATTGGATGAAAAGCTTAGAGCTGGTTATAGGTTATTTACTTCTGGGAAAATCAATGAGGCTCTTCGGACATTTGTTAATATTCTTCATACAATTCCTTTGATTGTCGTTGAGTCAAGGAGGGAAGTGGATGATGTGAAGGAACTGATTATCATAGTCAAAGAGTATGTTTTGGGTTTGCAGATGGAACTGAAGAGGAGGGAAATTAAGGACAATCCAGCTCGACAGCAGGAGCTTGCAGCTTATTTCACTCACTGCAACCTTCAAGCACCTCACTTGAGGATAGCTTTGCAGAATGCAATGACTGTCTGCTTCAAGGCAAAGAACCTTGCCACGGCTGGTAACTTTGCCAGGAGGCTACTTGAGACAAATCCTACCATTGAAAGCCAAGTTAAGATAGCACGGCAAGTGCTGGCAGCTGCAGAAAAAAATATGACTGATGCTGCACAGTTGAACTATGATTTCCGGAACCCATTTGTAATTTGTGGTGCAACCTATGTGCCAATCTATCGTGGACAGAAGGATGTCTCTTGCCCATATTGCACTTCTCGTTTTGTGCCAAGTCAGGAGGGGCAGCTATGTACTGTTTGTGATCTTGCAGTTACTGGGGCAGATGCTTCTGGACTGCTCTGTTCACCTTCCCAGATACGCTGATGAGCTACTGGACCAGGAGCTTTTTTCTCAAATTTTATTTCTGGTCAATTTTCACCACTAGATAGATCCCTTCTGATTAGTTAATATTTCAATGGTACTGTGGTAGATGCAAGAAATAGTCGAGAGAAATTATTTTTTGCCCCTTTGCTTTCTCTTTTGTTTAGTTGAAAATGATTTTCAATGTAATAAATCCATTTCTTATCCTGAGTGTTAGTTTTTCATACACAAGAAAGTGAAAGATTGTACTTAGATATTATGGGCTGTGGAAGACATACAAACGCGCAGTTTTATTTGACAAAGTACATATTATGTCTCTGTTTAGTTGCGGTTCAGTCCTTTGGTTGTCAGAAATATGTTATTTGTCATTAGTCGAGCATCGCTTATTCTTTATTTGATGAAAAAAGTGTTTATCCTTTTAAATGACATAATTTATATTCTTTCATTCTCATAAAGAAGTGGGATCACATTTTTATTTTTTTTGTCAACTCTCTTTCTTTATCTACCTCTCTATCTATCTTAAAATGACACAATTTTACATCTTTTAAAATGATATATACTTTACCGTTGTTTGATTGTTAGTACATGCAATTTACTTAAAGAATCTAGGAGTACTCGGTGACCATTGAGAATCTTTATCTTAGGAAATAGTAGATCATACACGAGGAAAGTTATCTGCACATTTTTTTTGTCATCGAAAGCATTTCTTGATCTTGCATTGTTAGCCCGCCGGTTGATACAGACGCGGGGTGTAAACTCTGTTAGGTAGTATTTTAAAATTGTACTAATATCCTAAAAATAACTCACAAATTCTGTCGTCAATGAATGCCAAAATTAACTCACTAATGCTATTGTCAATAAATTCAAGCTAACTAATTCTATGGTGGATAAACGCCAAAAATATGTGTAAGATTTGAAGGGTGCGATAGCCCTCTTAGGACTGAATGTAGTTATGCAGCGAAGCATGGAATATTTGAAATCTTAATTTTTTGTTATTTTCATTTTGTCCCTGGATGAAATAATTTGGCTGTTTTTTAAAGTTAAAAAGCTGTGTACAGAAATAATTATAAAACTAATATAAATATTTTTGCTTAAGCTACATAATAGATTTAATTATCGATGGAAAGTTTATATTGTTTATATTTGATTTTTATTTATTTTGTTCAAAAATTTCATGTTACAAGTTGTTTATAAATTTCAAAAAATTAAGAATTTATCTGTTTAATGTTTAACATTTATTTTTGTATTTTTGAATTGTAAATGATAGTATGATACTAGCCAATATGTCTATTAAAACTTGTTCATTTGATTTTATTAATTTATAAGGGATTATCATTTTTGCACGGTGACAGAAAGATAATATTTGCCTTTGAAACAAAAAATTCAAACTATTAAGTTTTTTTTAAAAAGAAAAAGAAAAAAAAGAACATGAAAATCAATGTGAGAGGAACCGCAGATATCATTTCTATGGCAGATGGAGAAATCATATTCCCTTTATATATTTACAAAAATGATCTGAATATTTGGACACATGCTAAAAATAATTGAGTTATCAACAGCAAATTCTATCGGTGCACGTGAAATTACACTTATAAAGAAATTCAACTTTCAAAAATTAATTATGAGAACAACTATTAAATATAGAGAAATGATATACTTACCCCTAAAAAAGTTTATCACCTATACCACCAACCCAATCACCATTGATTTCCGTCAATCTAACGGTTATTATTTATTGAAAATTATTGGGTCGCATTTATTATTTAATTATTAATTTCCAATAAATTCAATAAATTATAACCGTTAGATTGACGAAAATCAATGGAGATTAAGTTGATTGTAAATAAGTATATCCGAACTATTAAATATATTACAGAATAGTCAATCCTATTTTTCTGAAAGCATGTAAAAGATGATAGCATCCAATTCCAAGCACCTGTCAATAGCAGGTTTCTACATAAGGTCTTCCTTCCTTTGCACTGTATAGAAACTGAGTGAGAAAGCAATTCATATAATCAGAATATCATTAGGTAAGGAGATAAGACTTCGTTTCAGAAGCTCAAGCTCACATATGAGACGCTTTATACATCTTTAGCTACAGGCACGTGACTCTATATTAGATTACTTGTGGGCTGTGGCCACCAAAGAGTCATGTAAATGACTGCCAGAGAAAAACCTCAGCCTATTGTCGCCTACAAAATTAAAAAGTGTACCCTTCTCAATGGCAGTGCTTGAATTTTTCAAAATGTGTAACAGAAGTCAAATAGTTGTACAAATATTTAAAATTCAGGATGATTCTTCGAATTTCATATAGAATTACACATCTAGCAGCTATTTGGTCTCTAATATCATTGCTCTGGACTATCACATGACATGGCACATGAAACTAATAATCACACTTAAAATTGCATTTGGTTATTTTTTTCGCATATTCCCAACAAAACAGCTACTTCTTCACAAAGGAGCAAGGGGATCTGTAGACAGAAGAAATTGCTGTCTGCATTTTTTAATGGAAAAATATATATAATATCATAAGTTGCAATTTAGTTATAAATCAGGACTACACTTGTGTGTAATTCTTCACACATACTTCTATAATATTCTTACCTGCCTTGGATAAGTTTAAGGACAAATTTGAGAAACTCAAAGGTGGCCATGCTGGGCAGGGAACAATCCTGGCAGAAATCCAGTAGAACTTCCAAGCTTTACATCCGATAATAACCTGCTCAGGCCCTCTTTTAGGGCAGGGGAAAGTGCAGGACAAGAAGTCAAAACATCAAGTGATTGGACCACACCCTTTCTGGCAAGTAACTGAAAAGCTGATGAGACGCCTTTAACTATGATACCCTTGTGTTCCACATCATAGTGGTCCACAAGATGTAGCAAGAATTCAAGAAGAGTGCGGGTCATGTCACTGTATTTTGGGATAGAATGCACCATCAACAAAATTGCAGGCTCAATGTTCATGATATTATCCACCCCTTCGTCAAAGAAGAGCCAATCATAAAACAAAGCAAGTTTGGCTTTGGCCTCAACATAGTTCTTCCTACATGACTTCAAAAGCCAACCAATAACAGCCCATCTAGGAAGAACATCAGATTGAATGATTTCATTGGGAGGGTGGTGAGCACAACATATAAACCGAACAATATCAATTATGACAGTCTCTCTATCCGGCTCATGGAGAAACTTTCTGGCAAACCACATCTGGTGCCTCTGCTGATGCCCCAACTTCACATGTGTAAGCAAAAACCGCAATTGGATCTCCATTTCAGGAGTGATCCTAAGTAAAACATACCTACTTGAAGTCCTGGTGCAGAATATCTGCGAAACATTGTTGAATCCTAAAGTGTGAAATGCAGATGGATTCAACACCAAGTCTTCCAATATAGCCTTAAACTCAGAAACATGAACCAAATCCTGCAGCAACCGAATAAAATCCCTCCCAATTTTCAAACACAAATGAAACTCCTCCCTCACTATTTTGACACAAAAACTAATCTCCAATTGCCTCAAAGTTTCCAACTTTTCAACATCGGGTCTACAATGATCAGCTAAAACTCGAAGAAAGGTATACAATGCACTAGACAAAACATGGGGTCCTTCATCTAAGAAGCATTGCCATTGATCCAAGAAGAGGGTAACCAACTTGGAACACAGCAACAAATTGTCATCACTGAAATCCCCAGCAACAATTTGCCTCATAAGGGAAAGCAAGAGATTATCGTAACCAATTCCCAACACATGAACCATTTGCTCAGTGACCCAAAGCAATTGGTTTTTCACGGAACCAGTGAGCTTCGGGTACAACTGGTGAACGATTTTCACAAGCATATTGACAAACATGGCATACCCATCAGTGACGAGGGCGTGCATATGCTTCATGTGGGTTTTGGCAAAATGGGGTTCACTCAAAACGCCATGAAGGATTGCGCGGTTGAGCTGAGTGTACTCATCGGGTTTTGGAATGGCTAAAGAGAAAGGAGGTCTCAACTTTGGTTCGAGTGACTCGAAGGCTTGTCTCAGAGACACTTCGAATTGGTTCTCGGCTTCGTGAGGTGCCTCGAGGGTGAGTTTCGAAGCCATGGAAGAAACAGAGAAGAAAAAAGCAGGTTTTGAGAGAAGCGATTCTGAAAACGCTGAAAAACACGACACAAAGACCCTCGTCGCTTTGTTCGGATGATAATTTTTTCTTGTTTCAGAATTTGTTAGCGTGGGCTTTATCATAAAATAAAATTAAGGTATGTAATAATTTAAAGATTTTTTAAATTACAAAAAAGGAATTGAAGTAAACAGTAAATCTGCTTCTCTGAATAAAGTATAATTAAAAACTATTTTACTATAAAAAAATAAGAAATTAATTTTATTATATGAGGAGAATATTTTTTTCCCTATTACACATATTTTGTAATCCTATGCTACTTTATTTGATAAGATGTTTCGTTCTGTCTCATCGATTGCATATTTTATGTTATTATAATTTAATATTTAAGGTTTTTTATCTTTTATTTTTTCAAAATTACTTTAAAAAATTATTTACTAAAAAAAAAACATTGCAAGCATCATCTAAGATTTTAAATAAACAATTATGTTGATTACACAAAAATTAAAAAAATATATTTAATAGTTTAAAATTATAAATTATTTTTAAATTACTTAAGTACATATGTATCTAACATAGCTCGAATTCATTGCAAGATTCCAATATTATGACTTTACGCTCACAGTAAGATTGCCTACCATATAAGAGTTAAACGGGAGGAAAAAAAAAAATTTAATATAAAAAAATTAAAAAATAATAATTTAAGAGTATAAATAGGTGTGATTTAAGGAGAAAAAACTTAACGTAAAAAGAAATTTTTTAAAGCAAATATAAAAGCATATCTTAATATAAAAGCAAATATTTTTAAAGTATATACACAAAATTTTAAAGTAATTAATAATTTAGTTTTTTTATTAAAACAGAAAAGGAATTTAAGTCAACAGTGAATCTACTTCTCTTAAGAAGGAATAAAATATAATTAAAAAATATTTCACTCTAAAATAAAAGAAAATAATTTTAATATGGGGAAACGGTATGTCGTTTCGTGAAATGATCTTACTTCCTTTCAATCTCATAAAAATGTTGAATCTATATCTTTAAAAAAAATTTCTCCCAACTCTCTTTTTCATGATTTTTTTTTTCTTTTAAAATAATACACATCTTTTACGAAATTTCTTCCAATGACTCTTATTTTTTCTATGATATCCCACTTTATTTGACAAGACGTCTTCTTGGGTCTCATTTATTGCATCTTTTATATTATTATAACTTTTAAGGTTATAGATGTTTTTGTGCTTTTTTTACGAGGAAACACGGACACTTGTAAAAACAGAGAGAGTCGTGTCCGACACGCTCCGACATGGCGACACGCTCCGACACGGTGTCGGACACGCGGTCAACTTTTTCCGACACGTTGACCATTTCGACACGCGAATTTGACCGTGTCCGACACGGTCAAATGGCATTTTCGTAAATTTTTTTAAAATTATTTTTTTAAAAAATTAAAATATATTAATAAAGCTTCCACCCGATCATATCAATTTTATTTTCTTGTCTTTTTTCCCCTTAAGTAAATAAGAGATCATCTCAGCATCGTTATTGTCAATTCCTATCACGCTCTTATTGTATCTTCTTGTCTCTGATTTCTTTCTAATATGATTTGATCTCTCTATCTAATATTATATCTCTCTCTCATCCCAGTTCTTATTTTTTTTATTAAAGATTCCATCTTTATAACGTGTTACGGATATTATTAATTTAGTTTCATTTTTTTGTTAAATTATTAAATATTAAATGAAAGATACACTATATAAATTAAAAATATTATTTAATATTAAAACGTGTCCCAACGTGTCGAAATCTATAATTTTTTAGGATTGACGTGTCGGAGTGTCGTGTCGTATCGTGTCACGTGTCGCGTGTCGTATCGGTGCTACATAGCTTTTTTAAAAGGAGACTTGACAAAATTAATTACTAAAAATAAAACATTGCAAAAAATTAATTAAAAAATATTTAATATTTTTTAATTAGTTAATGACATAGGTATCTAACATATCTCGAATCCATTGCAAATTTGCAATAGTCTCATACTATGACTTTACGCTGCACCACCAGGTTTTAATGTATTGCTGGAGTTATTTTTTCCAAAAGGTATATAATATGTGTATTATTTTTATTTATTTCACTATTTTTAAGTTTATATAATTAATAAAATAGAGACGTTAAATGACAATGGAATCCAGTTTTAAATTTGAATGTAACATCTTTTATAAAGTTACAAATGACAATCATACAACCATAAAGGTGTGAAAGCGAATTTTTTTCTTTAAGAAAATTATTTAATTTTTTTTTTTTTTTGTAAAGATCATTCTCTCTAAACAAGTCAAGTCGATTGGCATCCCCGGCAAAAGTCACGATTCCAATGTTTTTATAATCAATATTTTAAATAAAATTTGAAGGGACTAAAAAATCGTAAAACGTAAAATTATAATGTAAAAAAATTATTAAAATAATAAAAATGTAAAAGTGATTGAAATATTGATAAAATTGTTTTGACGAAAAAAATATCATAAAAACATAAAATTATAGTGATAAATTGAGATTTTAACAACTATCCATAATTCAATAAACAATCACAAGAAATCAACTTCAACTCTTGTGAGTTCTCACTGTCCGAGTATCGAGCGTATTTATTATGTTCCGGACTATTATTTTTTGACTTGTCCCTTGACATAAATAAGAGGATAAAAAAAAATAATACAAATGAAAAAGAAAAGAAAAAAATTAGTATTGTGAAAAAGGAACACCAAATTATTGAATGATCCTTAGTAAATATTTCCCCGAGTATCCTATATAAACAAGAATTGTGTGCAAATGGTGAAATAATAGAAAAGGAAAATGGGTGCTTTAACGGAGAGGCAAGAGGCTTTGGTGAAGAGCTCATGGGAAGCATTCAAGCAAAACATTCCTCACCATAGCTTTCTGTTCTACACCTTGTAAGTTTCCTCTCTCACGTTGTGTTTTTAGTGTGATCTAGTGGTGAATCTCTTTGTGGTCATAGTTTGATTGAAAACAGTATATTGGAGAAAGCACCAGCAGCAAAGAACATGTTCTCATTTCTAAAAGACTCAGCTGAAGTACCCAGGAAGGGCCATGCTGAAAAGTTTTTCGAGATGGTAAGAACGACCTACCTTAAAATTGTAAAATCCTCCTAACGAATTTTATGCTAAACAATAATTCTTTTCATTATCTAATACAAAATTATAAAAAAAATTTGTCTTAATTACTTAAAAAAAGAAAATCCTAAATTATCACAATTTTTTGTCCTTTTTATTTCAAATAATTAGAAATATATATTCTCAATTTCAATTTTTAAGCTGATTTATTATTTTTTGTTAATAAATTTTATTGCATTCTCGTACTAGTAATTAGAGGTGTAAATAGGTTAGATTAGGCTAGATTTTAGCTTAAATAGGTTGTGTAAAAATATTTAGGCATGGCCTGACCTGTTAGCCTTGAGTAAGCTTAAATCACAAGTTTGGCCTGACCAATATTTACAAAAATAAAAGTCTTGGCCTAGGATTATTAGTATGTTTAAGCATATTAAACATTCAATTATTAAAAAAGTAACTAAAAAAATATTACTTTATTATTCGAAATTATTAAAATAATAATTTTATTTATTTTATTTAAAATAAATAATATGATATAGGCTGACCTGTAGGCTTATAGGCCCGATATATATGAAAAAGCATATGGCGTGTTTTCTAAATATATTTTTTTAAAAACATAGACCTGTTCTATTGGACTATTTATAATAGGCAAAAACTGACCTAATATAGATGAGGTCGTAGGCCCCTATAGGCCAGCCTAGCCCATTTACACCTCTAATAGTAATAGCATCAAATCGTTTGCTATTGTTATTTTATCATATATTTTTAGGGTAAAATATTTGCTGGAGATAAGATAACTTATCTTCAGTGACTCCAAAACTACGTCGTTTTAAATTAATGAATGATGTTTCTGTAATTTAATTTTTTTTAGCATATGAATTTAACCTAAACACCCTTCATTAATTTTTCTAAATTTAAAAAACACTCTTCATTAATTCAAAACAACTTAATTTTGAAATAACTTATTCCGGTGATTGAAAAAATACCTTACCCATATTTTTATCATAGTTATCATGTCCTGTGATGTTTTTGGAATTGTAGACGTGTGATTCAGCCGTTCAACTCCGAGCAAAAGAAGAAATAGTAGTGTCAGATGCTTTATTAAAGCATTTGGGTTCTGTCCATGTCCAAAAAGGAGTCATTGATCCTCATTTCCCGGTATGATAAACAATAACATGTTACACAACACATGCATTCTTAAATTTCACATGGTGTAATGATCACTTCTTTGGTAATACAGAAATGCAATAAATTAAACAAGCACCTTCCGTCTCATTTTTCATTTAAATTATGTCATAAACAATAGGAATGAACAATTAAGGTATATTTGTTGGGAAATTCGTTCCCTCAAACTCCAATGTCAAGCAGGTCCAGGGGAAGCCCGTGGCGGGGAACCACCACCAATGAGCTAAGGCTACACCAACCGTAGCAAGTGGATCCGACACCATGTCTCAACCCAAAACCTTAAGACATTGTGTTCATGGGTCCTTTCACTTATATACTCTTCACTTAGCTCATTACCAACCAATGTGGGACTCATCACACTTGAATATCTCAACAATCTCCCCCTCAAGTGTGAAACCCACCATTGGTATGCTCCCCCTCAACCGAGTACCCGAAGTGCAAAGTACTCGACCCGCCTCCTAGCCAATCACTAGGCTAGCTCAAGCTCAATCCGGCTCTGATACCACTGTGGTGCCTCCTTCCATGTTACTCCACACAAAGGTTTTTTCTCCTCTTACCGAGGTGGTGATTTTGGAGTCGTGAAGATGGGAAATCAGGTGACCAGCAAGATTGTTGGTGTCGGCGATGTAACTCTGACCACGGATGTCGGGTGCCGACTTGTGTTGAAGGATGTGAGGCATGTACCT